GATTCCATGACATATTCGGTCATCCCCATGAACTCGTCGTTCGCGGGGGATGGAGACGTGCGTTGCGCCACAAGATGGCCAACGGTCTCGGCGGCGTTACGGAGACCGAACGGGAGCGCTGTCGGGGCACTTCGGATGAGGTATTCTGAGGAGAGCGGCTCTCCTTCGGCAAGCTACGTCATGACGTTCGTGAACGAGAAGGTCAGGTGGCGCAAGTCCTCCCGGGACGGTCGGGGTCCCAAGAAGGCGTCGAGCTAGCGCTCTAGCCTCCTGTAATCAAAGCCGAGGAGCCGGTCGCACCCGGGGGCATGGGCCTCTAGTGCGTGCAGCCGTAGCTCCTCAAGCGCCTCGGCGATCGCGTCGAGACCGGTGGAGTGGAGAAGTTGGATGGCGACGGGAGCCTGCACCAACTCTCCCCCCGTCATGATAATGAAGTCCAGGTTCCCAAAGCGCACGTGCGCGCCTGAGACCCAGCTGGCGCCGTGACTAGCCATCCGAGACCTGATATGGACGTCGAGACGCGCAAAAAGCCCCTACCTGATGCGCCAACTGTCGGTGTTTCGAGTTACCAACTAGTAAATTTTTAGTATTGCACATCTAGCTCGGATGGTGTGCTTAGAGGACATAAGGTTTATACTGGTTCGAGCAGAAAGTTCCTATGTCCAGTTCATCGCTGCTGCTCGTGTTATGAGCACTGAAAGTTTGTAGTAGGAGTTACAAACGAGCGAGAGAGGAACATGTCCCAAGTCTCTGATGTGCGTGTGCTCCTAAAGCATGTTAGGGCGTGTGCTTTGTTGTCTACAGCCATGTAGAGTGGTCCACCCCCTTTGGGATGTCCTGCTTCCCCTTTTATAGATGAAAGGAAAGAGCATGTTACACAGAGAGAAAGAGGGAGAAGAGGCAAGGAGAGGAAGGCTTCTAGGACCGTCGGGCCTTTCTCCTTTATGTGGGTCTCGCCAACACTGCAGATGGTGGCAGGAACGCTCCACGCTCGGGCGCCTATTCGCTGCTGATGCCACGCCCCAGCATTGTCAGTGGGTCGTGACATCCCATTCCGTCCCGGACGGGTGACGCGGCGAACCAGCGTGCTGGTCAATGCCCGTACAGGGATTAGGCAGCATAGTGACCACGCGTCCATCACTGTTGGTGATGTGAGTTCCCTGGCATGACATGTAGTGGGCACAAGTCATGTTGAGATGTGTCTGCTCCCTGCACGATGCCAGAAGTTTGACCTTAGGTTGTACTTTCTGGCCCGTAGTGGTTGACGGTGATACGGGCTTCCGTCAGGAGCCGCGCCTAAGAGGTCGGGCGAGACGGAGCCCCTGACCTAGAGGCCGGGCGAGGCGGAGCCCTCGATCCAGAGGCCGGGCGAGGCGGGACCCCCGACCGAGAGGTCGGATGAGGCGGAGCCCGCCCCCAGAGGCCGGGCGAGGCGGAGCCCCTGACCCAGAGGCCGGGCGAGACAGGCCCCCCGTCCCCAGAGGTTCGGGAGAGGCGGAGCCCGCTCCCCAGAGGTCGGGCGAGGCGGAGCCCGCGCACCTGGGGTCGATTGGAGCTGTAGTCGCATTTTTGACTGCTCGGATGAATTAATGTTGATGACTATTAACTCCTCCTCTTCGGGTATCCTAGTATTGGTCCCCGACAAGATGTGGCTACAAGGAGAAAATATAGCTTGTCAAAATATATTATTGCAGCAATCAACAAGACTTTTCAAGTTTATGACGTGCTAATTATTGTCTTGGCTCTTTTACATTTCCAAAGAATTCATATGAGAAGGATTACTTCAAATCTGAAAACAAAAAATACTAAAAAGATAGATATCATGACAAAATATAGAACGGTGTGGCTTTTTCCATGTCGTCAGCGATAGAAAAGATGCTTACACAGTAGGGGAGCTGTAGCAGCGTCTTACAGTCAACATTTTATTTTCATCTTGCCCTCTGGTGTCCATTTGATAGAAAGGGCTGTATAAATAGTGATGTCTCCACTCCATTCAGTGAACAAAATATAAGCAGCACACACAGGATGTGAAATATTATTATTTAACAGGGAGCTTACAAACTTGGTTTGCTAAGTCGAATTTACATTGTTTTCACATCTATGGCGTGTATATAACAGGCATGAAATTGGTTGTACTTATAAATCAACCAAAGTACAAATCCCCAATTCTACATGAAACAGCAATTCTTAATCCTTTCTTGAGTGAGTTCTTTCAAGTTATTTTCTGAAAGATCATTCTTTCAAGTTCATAATCTGATGATTGAACAAAAACACTATATGTTCCTGGGACATGAGCCAAATGGCATTTTTCATACAAAAAATGGTTCCTGTGATCCCACCTTCTAGAATTAACACAGCCTTCGCTAAAGTTCTTGCACCGTCATAGCAATATCCACTAGTAGGCCACGCATTAGCCATGTTGTGATGATGCTCAGAAAGTCGTGGGTAGAACGACGACATACCGTACACATCCAAGATGCCAAGGCTTCCTGCGGATGAGAGGCCAGCGAGAAGCTGCCTTTGCCTGCACGGAAGAGAGAGAGGCACATCAATAGTGCACGGGAAATGTTTGATGATATGCTTACACGGAGATCAGAGGAATTCTCTCATGCGCACCTGTCCTACGTAGGATGGCTCCCACGCAGGATGATGTGCTTCGCCGGTGGGCTACAAGCTGCAGCCCTTCCGTGCCGCACCGCGGTCGGGTGGCCGTCCTCGCATCGCATCGCCTCGCTGGTGCGCCGCGTCCGCATCACAGGCCAACGAGACGCAATGTCTGCGTGAGGAGGCAGCTGCTGCTCCCTTTTGGGCGGCTGAGTTGGGAACAGAGTAAGCGGCAGGGGTGCCGACGCGCCGCTCAGCTGAGTCGTCGACCGAGGTGGCGGGATGGCGGGGCGCTTGGATGTGGCACGCACCACAGGCTCGGCACGGCCTTCACGCCCAGCTCGCCGGAGCAGCTGCTCCCCATGCGAGCTCCCCAGCTGGTGAGCCACCACCTCGGCCTCCCTCTCCGCGCGCTCGCGAGGCCAGCGGCGGAGTTGCTCGCATGCGTGCCCACGAGGCCGCGGCGGAGCTGCTGCTCGCACGTGCGCCGACGAGGCCACGGGGGAGCTGCTCGCGCCCGCGCCGGCGAGGCCGCGGTAGAGCTGCTACTCGCGCGCCTCCTCGGCTTCCTCACGTCATGCTGCTCCGAGCTCCGTCTGACCGTCCCCCACACGGCCACTCCTCCTCCCCCGCTAACTGCTGCGTGCTGCTCCATCCTCCGTCCCCTTGCCCATGGGATCGAAGAGTAGCAACCGTGGGGAACAGGCCATGAGCTGGAAGACGAAGCTGACTAGTGGGGCCCACCTGACAGTGACAGGTGCCACGGGACCCAGCTGTCGGGGATGGAGAGAGAGGAGCAAGGCAGGGGTAGCAACGATATTTCACATGCTCATGCTGACTAGGCGCCAACGTGGCATGCCACATGCGCAAAAGTGGTAAATCTAAAACTAAAACTTCTCTCATCTGGTAAAGTTGTAAGTGTCATCCTAAGAGTGATATTCAGATGAGTGCCAATCTTTATAATGGTAAAAATGTAAAAGCCCCGTAGTCTGAGGGCTGAGGCATGAGGAGGCGAGTGCACGGTCGAACGGTGGCCTGGTTCGCGGTGTAACGGGTGGGAGATCCGCGAAGACCCTGATCAAACAGTTGATTTCTCTTGTTCGCTAGATCGAATGGTTAGCATGTTAACAGGCGACGTGGCCCGATCTGCTGGCCCGATTTCTGGTGCAGATTTCGTATAGTAAAAGATTGAGGCTTTTCTCTGTGTGCCATTATGGAATATGCTCTATTCCTACATACCACTAAAAAGTTCACACGGACCGTGGTGCCATGACGCTAAACTTTCTTATCCTCCACGCCATTCCGTTCGCCTTCTGTTATGTTTCCATCGTTTGACAGCCTTACATACGGGCCCAACCAGTGATAATGTCTAGAATACCCTGACATACGGATCCTCGAGCCCAATTTCATAGGGTTCATTTTTGATTTTGAGGTTTTGGGTGGTGGGGATTCTTGGGCTCCCTTTGCTTTTGTTTGACCTGCTATGACTTGGGAGCGGTAGCAGATCTGTGAAGATCAACCCCTACAAAGCCTCCGAATCTATTCGTTTTTGAAAGGTTCATGCTCGTCTCCCGAAAAGTTTTACTTTTTGGGGTGCAATTTTGGTTCTAGGTTGCTCGATTTGAGCGAGGCTTTTGGGGATTTCTTAGAGGTTCTTGGTTGGGTGGTGGATCCGGCCTACGGCGATGTCTTCTGCCGACTCCCTCACCTCCGGCCCCGGAGCCGCTGCTGTGGCCGCCCTTCCCCCTTGAAGCGTGTCGCGTCTTACCGTGGACGCCGACGCCATGAACACCGACGACTACCTCCCGCGACGAGGACGAAGCGCGCTAAGCGGGCGCGTGCGGGAGGTCATCCACATCGATGTGGAGGCCGCCCGGCTCGACTTCGCGCAGGCGGCGCGGTAGGCCGGTGCTACCGAAGAAGCGCCCTTCTTTGTCCCAGGCGGCGCTCGTGCGGCGCCGCGCCTCGGGGGACGGGTTCCGCCTCGGGAGATCCGCGACCCGCGCCATTGGAAGCGCCTGTGGCTCGGCACCTTCGACATCGCCGAGGAGGCGGCCGCTGCCTACGACGACGACACGCTCCGCCTCAAGGGCTCCCACGTCGTCACCAAGTTCCCCGCCGAGGCGCCTTCTTCCCCTGGTCGTGCATGAGGTTCCGCCCTCGTAGGGAGACCCCCTAGAAACGACGGAGGGTGCCGCGGAAGAAGACGGAGAGGCTCTCGCCCTGGCCCCGGGCCCGGCCCCGGCGGTGGCGCCCACGTCGCTGGATCCGCAGGCGGTGGACGGCCCCACCCTGGTCTGCCTGTTCGCGTTGCCGACCTCCGTTCTCCATTACGCCGCCGCCGAGGTGCTGGCCGCACCCGTCCTACCGGCGTTCGAGTTCCTCTATCCTGAGGCATGGCGCCAGAGGGGCAGGAGCGCGAGGTGCGTGGGAGGGATTGGGAGAGAGGGGGAATTTTATACATTTTCTCTGGTCGGACCCATATGTCAGGACTAACAAACAGTGAAAATCTAACCAAAGGCGAATGAAATGATGTGGAGGATAAAAAAGTTTATTGTCGTGACACTGGTATACTTTTTAGTGCCACTCAAAAACGGAGCACGTTTGGTAATCGCGCGCGGGGAAAAGTCTCTAAAAAAATTCTCCGACTCCGGCGAAACGCCAGAAGAAATCGAGCCCCACCACCGTCGCCTCCCTCGCAGAGGACATCTTGCTCGAGATCTTCCTCCGCCTCCTCTCCCTCGCCACTCTCGTGCGAGCCGCCCTCACCTGCCACGGGTGGCGCCGCGCGGTGGCCTCCTCCCCTGCCTTCCGCCGCCGCTTCCGTGAGATCCACCCAGCACCCCTCCTGGGGCTCCTCTTCAACCCTCCTGGCGCCGTCCAGGACCCTGCACTGCCCGCCTTCCCCTCCTTCGTCCCCACCCGCGGCACCGATCGGGACCAAGCCGCCGCCGTCCGAGGAGGCGACTTCTTCCTCACCTCCCTCCAGGAGCGCCACGGCGTCCACAACGGCTGGGACATCCACGACTGCCGCGGCGGGTACCTCCTCCTCGCGAATGCTGATCAGTTAACGATGGCGGTGACCAATCCTTTGGCGCGACGGAGCGAAAGTTTCTTTGATTTCGGCCACGAGGACACCCTTGAAGGTCACCGTGTCCACGCCTTCGCACACAAGGCCTGCTTGTTCTGCTCCGACGAAGACCCCACGTCGTTCCGGGTGGTCATTATTGCCCATGACAAGTCCAGGGTACGGGCCACTGTCTTCAGCTCGGACACCGGTGAGTGGTCGGCTCTCCCGTGGGTGGATATCCCGGCGAGGCCACGGCGTGGAAAATTCTGGCTTCTGAGCGGCAACATGCAGACAAATGGATTCTTGTACTGGGTTTACAAGAACTGCAAGTATATGGTCTCACTGGACACGGCAACAATGGATTTCTCTGTCACTGAGCTCCCGGTTTTCCTCAAGAATCGGCTGTGCAGCTTCGTTGTGGGTGAAATGAACAATGGTGAGCCTTGTATTGTCTATGCTATTAACTTCACAGTTGGCGTGCTTTTGCGCAGAACAGAGAGTGATGGTGTTGAGAGGTGGGTGCTGGACAGGGCCGAAATCCTGGAGACACAGCTTGGTCTTGTCCTTGGCAAACTAATGGAGGACTACAATGAGGTGCAGGTTGTGGCTGTCAGGGATGGCTTTGCATACTTGGTAACATCAGAAAGGTCAAGCGGTTCCAGGACTCCTAGTTGGTTTTTGTCCCTCTGCTTGGAAACAGTGAAATTGGAGAAGCTGTTTCGGAGGACCTATGACAGTTTTGTGCAACCTTATGTTATGCCATGCCTCCTTCTTTAGTTGGTAACTATGGGAGGTTTGCACTTGAAGATGGTGTATGAAATGCATGACCACCCGTCAAATATAATATACAGCGAAGAAGAGCTGAAGCTAGCAAAAAAGTTGCCTCGTATTTTTCTGTTGTTGAGTATCATAACGCCCAGATGTATGAAATGCATGACTACCATTCTTTTGAAGCTGCATGGATGCTGAAGAATTTGATCATGAAGAAGATTTGGTCACCAATCAATCCTACAATTTCATCTTTTCCACTTGCTATTTACATTTTGCTACCACTTTTCAGTATTGGCATAATGGTTCTGAACTTCTTTTCTCATCTCTTATGTACTATGTAGTTATGTTAACTACGGAGTCTTTGTTAGGTGTTGTGTTATGGTTTCAGGAGTCTGTTCTGAGATCCTTGCTCCCAAGAGAACTGGGACTATTTACCTTTGTCGAAAGAATGGCTTCAGTTATAATTTTTTTTTGAAATGATCAGATATAACAATTAGTTATATGCATACTAACTTAGCCTTGTCTATATGTTGGTTTCGCCCATAGGAAATCAATGTACCTGTTAGATATATAAAGAAAATGATGGTGGAATGGATAGGTGATTTTTTTTATTTTTTTATTTTTGGCATGTGAATGTTTAACTACAATGCCAGCAGCACCAAGAAGATGTTTATTTATACTTTTAAAATCTTGAAATGATCTGCTCTACTTAATTTTCGAACTTTAACCTGGGCCTAAGATGCCTGAGCTAAAATTTAGGTTGCGTACAGCAAAACATGGAACACCAGCGAAATGGAGGAACCGTTATTTGTTAGTTCATGTGTCCTGAAAGTCTGCTGACACATTTCTTTTGTGATACAGGAAAGAGATCTTGCATCCTAGAATAGAACCTTAGAAAATCTGTGAACACATCTTAATACATATAATTGTCCTAATGATTGTATTGTCAACAAATTAATCATGCATATGGGCACATGATCTTTACATGTTGTGAATAATACAACTATAAATACTGTACCTCTAAGCAATGCACGAGGACGGATTCAACAGTGTCTAGTATTTTTTTTATTGCCTTCGCTATGGTCTACCATATTGTCAGAGTTCTATTCCATTTCGAGGCATTCCGATAGTATAGTTTCGTACTTTTGTTCTCTAATTTTTTCCTCTATGGTATCAATGATGTATTCGTTCTAAGTACTATTCAATTTCGCTCTTGGAAAATAAGAAATTAAAACAAACTAGACCTCTTTACTGTTTGGGGGTTTCAATCCTAGTGATCTGCTCACATTTTAGAGCATCTCCAAGAGTTCCAAAAAGACACTCCCAATCACATTTTATGTCAAATTTTAGTTAAGATGCTCTTATGTCAAATTTTGGTTAAGACATGGTCGGATCTAAGAAAGGGTGGATTTTAACTTTAAGAGATGGAAACGAGGGAGAGTTAGGAGCGGTAGGGCTCTTAAAAAGAGAACTCTGCCCTTCCTGAAGCGGTATTTAGGCAATTCCATAAGAAAAACTACCGCAAATTCTAAATTTAGCTTTTGTTCTAGAAAGAAAGCAATTCTTGAATAGTAAGGTGTAGATCCAGATTACGCATAATGTATGTGTGTTTGCGTGTGTGTGTGGTGTGTGGTGTGAGTTGTGCTTAAGTTCAAATACTACAACTTGTACTTGAAGTATTGAGGCATTAAAAAAACTTATTAAAAAAAGATACTAACAATATATTAAATATGTATAGTTAGGTTTATCATGGAATATATTTTTATAATATATTTATTTAAAATAATAAATATTAATATTATTTCTATAAATTTAGTAAAAGTCAAGATAGTTTAACTTGAACCAAACATTGAATTTCATCCTTTTATGGACGTAGGGAGCACCGAGTTGTTTGTGCCATTTGAATTATCTGCTCCACACTCGCCTCATCTGGCATGGCTCTAGTGGCTCAAAAAGTCGAAGCAAGTGAAACAAAAAAAGAGAGTAAAATTTACTGGCTGTCCTTAAGCTTGCTTGGTTGTGTCATTCATGTCCTTAAACTCGTAAAACGTCTATTTAGGTCTCAAACTTGTTCGGAAGTATCATTCCAATCTCTAATCTTGCAAATCGTTTGTTTAGATCTTCAAACTTGTTTAGTTATATCATTCCGGTTCTTAAACTCACAAATGACTCGTTTAGATTGAATAGAGATTGAGTACCTAAATAGACGGTTAGCGAGTTTAGGGTCTAAAATGACATAGTCAAACAAGTTTAAGAAACTAACGTATAATTTGCAAGTTTGGACCGAGACGACAGAGACGAACAAGTTTGAGATATAAACGGATGGTTGGTGAATTTAGGGACCAAGATGCTATGGCCGAACAAGTTTTAGGCACTCCAGCGGACTTTACTAAAAAAATAATAGCTCTAGTTCTATTTGAGATGGTGGCATGTCCTCGTTGGAGGCATTGTCGTGAGGCCTCCTTACTCTCTAAGAGTTTGGTTGAAAAAACTTGGTTATCCATTTGGCGTTGATGGCATCTACGGTTGTCGTCCCCCTCCTTGGAGACATCGCTGTGGAAAATCAACTCTCCCTACTAGTTTACATCGCCTGTGCTCTTTGGCTTGCAGAGTGTCACTCGCTAGCCGTTGTTTTCGAGGATTGGGGGCTTTGTGTTTCTTGCGGCTGTGGTGTTGTTGTTGCCTCCTCTGTGAGGTTGTTCTTGTTTTCTTTTCCCTTGATTTGTAATGGCTTCTTCTCTATTAATACATGTCCGGCATCGTCGCTGGCTTTTCAAAAAAAAAGTTCTATTTGAGAAGAGGAATAAAAATGGATCTAATTCTATTTGAGACAATTGGTAAAAATGGTTCTTGCTGCCACGCACGGACAAACATGCACGTGCATTGATTAGTTCTGTTTAACTTGTTTTATTTTATTGGATCTAGTACCGTCGGCATCCTTTGTTTCGTGAAATCTAAACGAATTTGTTATCTTGTTTTCGTGCATCTTCAAATCAGGCACTGATGAGTGATGAACACGGCAAAACCTAGGTATTTCCAAAAGATAAAACTTATCGAGCACGATGAATTTGGTGACACAATTCTACCCTTTCTTTTGTGAATCACAATTTCAAATCAAATGTTCACTAGACATCACAGCATATTTACAGCATCACGACAGCAGCCAATTCATTTCGAATGTGCATTAGCAATTGCCAAATGGAGAAGAAAAGGGAAGGAACGCAGGAACAGAGAAGGGGGGGATCGCCCTCGATGGGTGGGAAAGAGAGAGAGACAGGGGAAGTCACAAGGCAGCGAGGCCTAGGAAGTCGACGGCGGACTTGGCCATGATGGCGGTGAACTCCTGAAAGCTGATGACGCCGTCTCCGTCGGTGTCGGCCTCTTTCATCATGTCGGTGAGCTCGGCGTAGCAGATGGGGTGGCCCATGAGCGCCATGGAGCGCGCGAGCTCGGCGGCGGAGATGAAGCCGTTGCCGTCGCGGTCGAAGGCGCGGAAGGCCTCCGCGAGCTGCGCGTGGTCGACGGCCACGGCGGGGCGGCAGGGCCCCAGGAGCAGCGGCGCGAGGGAGGAGGCGAGCTCGTCGAACTCCACGGTGCCGTTGCCGTCGGCGTCCATGGCGGCGATGAGCGCGTGGATCTCGTCCCCGGCGGCGGGGCGGAGGCCCAGGGAGCGGAGCAGCGCCGCCAGCTCCAGCTTGGTGAGGCTCCCGTCGCCGTCGAGGTCGAAGCGGAGGAAGAGCTCCCGGAGCTGGCGCAGCTGCTCGTCGCGGAGCCGCGCGCGCCCGCCGGGCGCCGGCGCCGGGGAGGGGTCCCTGCCCTTGCCGGCCCCGGCGCTGGCGCCGGGGAGGGCCATGGACGCCGAGCGCTTCGTCCGGGCGGTGGTGGTTGACATGGTCGCGGTCGCTGGCAGAACGGGTGGCGGTGCGGTCGCGCTGCCTTCTCGGACGCGGTCTTCGGGGCGGGAGCTCTGCGCCTGCATGCTGCCGTTTGGAAGATGTGGCCCTTGCGTATGCGTACCTTGCGTCCGGGCGGTGGTGGTTGACATCTTCAACGCCACTACTTCGCGGTCGCTGGCAGAACGGGTGCCATGGGGTGGCGGTGCGGTCGCGCTTAATTTTCTTGAGACGCGGTCTTTCGGGCAAAACAGAAGGAAATCTCTGCGCTATAATTTTGCATAAAATTTATTTTCATTTAATTTCATAAAAAAATATGATGCTTTTTCTAAGATATATATTAATCATATCAAATCATATTTTTTACGTAAATTAAATGAAAATAATTTTTATATGAAAATTATAGATCTCTTTATTTAGATCTACAACTTTCTAGTTTTGAGTATGCGTACATTTGAAGTGCTAAGATGCTAAAAAATTAATAATATATTTGAACTTCGTTTCGTTTTTCACACTTGAGGACAACAGCAATCGAACCGACGGAAGTGGCCTGCGGTTGCGCTCGCACATGAAAAATTGCTTCGTTTCGTTTTCAACTCTGCGGTTGCGCTCGAATTGGGTTGTTTTCTCCGTGGAGTTTAGCTGGATTCGTCTCGAACCGTGATCGTTCTATCCACGGTTTTTTTTGTTGGTATAATTAACGAAAGTATAAGTGCACGGTTGGAATTTTTACATTTCCAAATTAAATATGCTTTATCATCCGTTAAAATTCCACAAGTTGGCACGATCTTAACGTGCAAATCAATCATATGGTGAAACTAGGACAACTGCGGACAGTGTGTATATGGACATAATTCATCCTGGTGAAACTTGGACAACCAGGGCCCTGTAAATAGCCATTTAGTCCGAATAATTACTCAATAGGTGATCGATGATTTAATTGTTTACATTGTATAACCCTCACGCCCTGTTTAATTGAAATATTTTTTTTATGCTACAAGTGGTACGCACAGGTAGGAAAAGAAAAACTGCATTCAGACGATACCTCGTGAGCTAACGTGCCAGGACTCGGTCAGTGTAACTGTAACCTATCAATATGGTTTACGGTACGACATTTCTCATCCATAATAACAAACTGCAGAAAAGTTCTGAACACCTCCACTGGCCACTGCCGTAACCATAATAGCAGTACACTACAATCAGCATGGCCTCAAAATGCCGAGGACCACATGCTCTACCGAGCAAAATAAAAGAGACAAGGACAGCAATTTATTACTTCAAGAATCAATAGTTCCACTCGCATTTCATTGTTCACCATCCTATTGACTGCAGCAAGCATCCTTATGAATTATATGTGCTACCACTGAATGTCTGAAACTGTACCCCATCAAATTGTTAGACAATTCGCTCAAGAGCTACTGCTCATTGTAAGAAAAGATCCGGTGTTATGCCTTCAGTAGCTCGGTCAGACATGAACTAAGAATACATCCGTGTACAAGAACAGAACGCTATGGAATACACGTCTTCTAAAGAAAATTGAGGGGCGGAGCTCACTGTAGCTGTGTAGGCAGATTTTCACTGTGATGATGATACCTGGGATTCCATGCTTTCCTACCTCAGCCACCATCTCTGAACTGCCGAAATAGGTGTGTTGAGGAATGGCGCATAGCGGTAAATATACGGGTTTACAGCCCGGCCTATTCTTGCCCACACGCTCTGGTGGTAACCAGATGTCACAGGAGAATGGTACATCAACTTCAACAGCTGCACAGAAGAAATGTCCGAAAAGGTTAGACAGTCAGTGAAGTTCTAGCTGGACGGCTAATAGGTTCTATCAATCAGAAAGCCCAGAGTCAGCAATGAGTACAATGCATGAGATATCATTTAAATTACTACCCAGTCGCTTATGCTAGATATCAACAATTCGATTTTTCGTATGACAGGTTAACAAAACTGGTACACACGAATAACTACTCAGTTCTCAGAAGTCTGAAGTGCAAAAGTCATGCTGCATTTTGAGATGCTGGTACACACGAACTATTTCTCAGTTCTCAGAAGTTTGAAGTGCAAAAGTAATGCTGCATTTTGAGATGGCTGTGGCCATGCAGGGACGAAATGAGGAGAAAAGGAAAACCAATTGTTCAAAGCAGAGTATAACTCACATGAAAGTACATAAATGTCTGAATTATATTGCGTCTCGACCTGCATCAGCAAAAGGACAAAGCATACGATGTAAGCTCACATACAAAAAAACTTTTGCAAATACTAGTTCTTCACAAGGTAAATGCACGCACGAGAAAAGTGAGATGATCATGAGAAACCCCAGGGTGATTTCAGCATTCGAACAGAGTAGGCTGAGTGTAGTGTTGTTCGTCTCTACCCATAGGCAAGGGTCCTCTAAGTACTTCCTGAACAAGAGAAAGTAAGAAATCACTAACCACCTGGTGCTCATAATGGCAGAAATTGGATCGTATACCATGTGCACAAGTACAATAAAGCATATAACCGATTTTGAATTTTCATACCTGTATAAAGAAGAGTGCGTAAAATTACGCCTTAGGAATCGAGCAACATGATCAAGCGCCCAGCAAAGAACAGGAAGTAGAGCAACTATAACCAAAACAAAAAGGAATATCTTAGAACAGATGATATATTCGCCTAACAAATTTGATATAGTGGACAAAATCAGAAGTTCAGCTTACTCTTAAAGTGCACATTAGATGTGAACATCATAAGAGAAAACATCAAGTGAACAAAGTCCTTGGCTACAATAATAGATTGCAGCCAGGACTGAATTGCAGGCATATTCCATGCTCTTGGTTTCTACAAGCAGAACAAAATTTGTAACCACCATAAAATGGAACATTTTAACAGTAAAAAATAAAGGTGCATTATCCATTCATTCAGAATAACAGGCACTTACCCCATAAGTGCTATATAAAGAATATGCAGACGAGCATATTGTTCCTAGCAATGAAAGTCTGTATGCTTTACTTGAGATATGGTTGGGTAGAACTGGGAGTATTCCAAGACTAGCTACAACCAGAACCTGCAAAATCATAATTCAAGAAACCATAGGTCGGTCCAACATTTAAAAGTATCAACCAAGCCATAGTGGTGTTAAGAACAAGAGAAACAGAAGGACAGTTATCATCTGCCAGAATATATCAAAATCAGCAGAGAAAAAAAATGACATGCTCACATATGCTGTTAGCAGTCAGCAAATATGTGATCTATAAAGACAACTCTTAAGAATCAAAATGGTAAAAAGGTGAAACGAGTGAAATGACTAGGCGAAAGTAACAATCAACATAATAAATGGTAGCCTCTGCTCACAGCTACTTGGTAATACATAGGAGCTAGTCACTCCATACCCAGGCATTGATAGAAAAATGTATTGTCCGTCCGTCTAGCCGTAATGAATTTGCAGTCCTCTCTGCTGATGGCTGTTGGGAAGCCCCAGTTGATCTCATGCTAGAGCCTGCACGAGATCAACTTTAAATCTTAGATGGATGCGACATAAGAGAATAGAAGTAGGTCCCCACCAATTAATTCAAACTGTAATTCCATAGTAGGCCCTCAAGTATAAATTCACAATACCTGAGTCATGAGATCTGACATTCTCACCAGACGGTGTAGCTGAAGACCTTGCTGCTGGTCTGCTAGACTGAGTTGAAGTCATGGAGGACATTGGTTCAACAACCAAACCAGGATCCTGACATGTAAAGGAAGGAATTTAAGTATTTTTAAAAACCTGGCGTTGATTCTTTTGCCTGGTTATCATATCACCTTGAAAAGATCAAGCACAAGCAGCAATGCTTTGTAATATTAAAAACTGGTTCAACTGTACAGAAGCTATTATATGCAGAAGAAGGGGTACAAATTAAAACATTAAAAAGGATAATGCTGACAGAAATAATGACAAGACATCGATTAATCATGAGCAAAAAGAGAAAAGTTATGTGGTATATTACTCTGTGCAGTCCAAGGAAACAAAATGGTTGCATCAACAATTGGCAGATATGAGCATCTAGCAATGATAAACATGATTCCATGAGCATTGAAGATGAAAAGGGGAAAACTTAACAGAACAAAGTCTAAGCTCTTTGTTGTGTCCTTAATTGTGAAAATCCAAAAGGTAGCAAGAATTGCAAACACAGTACACACACATGTCCTTGCAAAGAGAGTGAAGATGTAATGGGTTCAATATATGACTTCTTCATCGTTTTGTATTGGTTTGGATCAACACAAGCAACCATGCAGAATTACTTTTATAGCTCCAAACAACAAATCGACAATGCAGCCTCCTGTTGTCTGTGCTACCTCCTGTTGTCCCTGCTGAACCACTCTCCAATTCCTCATGGATAACTCCCACACAAAAAGCATATCCGCACCAGATTTACACATGTGAAACATTTGTCTAAATACTAGCAGACAAAAAAAGTACACTAGAGTAGTACAGTAATGCAAGCTAGACTGGTAGTACTAGTTCTCCAATTCCTCATGGATGACTACCACACAAGAAGCATATTCGCACCAAATGTACACATGTGAAGACATTAAGTCTGTATTGGCAGCAGCAAAATATGAGAGAATATGAGTGCAATATCACAGCACCCGTACCAAATTTGATATTATGAGACAAAAGGTACATTAGAGTAGTACAGTAATGCAAGGTAGACGGATGAGACGGCTAGTGCTTTTGTTCCTTTGCCAAGACAATCCACTAGTATACTACCTAAAAGAGACACTTCCTTTCCATTGTCTAAAGACGTTTTTAAGAGAAGCGCACCGACCCTTTCGTGGAACGAATAATTCTTCCGGCACAAGTGCAGAGTATAAAGTCAGACGGATCGAGCTAAATGAAGCATGAGGTGCATCCAATCCAATTGACTCGAGAGACGCATCCAATCTGGCAACGACAACACGCGGAGGTTTAGGGAAGCGGGGGGCCTCACGATGTATCGCTGGTAGAACTTGCGCTTGAAGTGGTCGACGA